GGTGGCCATGGCCACCCCTGGCCCCCCATCTAGCTCCGCCACTGCATGGCTTTTAGACCGTGAAAAAACTTGCGCAGCCACTGTTCACCATCTCACCCGCTAAATCACGCACACAATGACCTGCCACCTCGCGGCGCCGGTCACGTGGTGGATGCCGGGGAAACGGTGCGGGGCTGAGCTCTTTAGGTCACAAACAAAGTAAAAGCTGGAGCCGCGGAGCTTTTTTCCAACACTTCAAGAATCACTTCCATGTGCGAGAGCAAGTGAGCGGCTCTATTACCCGGTCAGTACGCGCTTTTATGGCTTCTCTGTGCGGGACTAAACCGAAACACTGTTGGAGGGATGTGGAAGGAAAAGAAACTATTACAGGATTTAAGGAAGGAAGTGCGGAGGAGAGCCGGAGCTGCCTTTTGTTTGTAAATCATAAAAGCAGGCGCTCAGCTTTAGTAAGACGGTTTTTATACATTTAATCTACAATGGACATCCCTCTCGTTTGTGTTCGATACTGGTGAAGATGAATGAAATGCTTTCACTGCAAGGTGTAGGCAGTTAATTAATTAATGAATCATTGGGAGCAGCTGGGTGCAATCAATAGCTGAGGATGAATGATCACTGGAGGAGTTAGGGAGACCATTAGACTACTTAGACTTAATGCATGACTCTCCACTTGGGCACACACTGCAAAAATCTTCAAGAAGTAAGAAAAAAAATTCTTCAATCTAGTTTATTTACTCTTAATTTGAGTATGTAAATTGATTGAGTATTTTTACTCTTAAAATTAGATAATATGCACTTGTAATATGACAATGCAATTGTCTTTTCTTATTTTAAAGTTAAATGTCTTTTTCCATTTGCAAATTGTCTTACCTCCTCAATTCAAGAACAAATACACTTGTTTTAAGAAAAAAATGACTTCTAGTTATTAGATTGTTTATTGTTGACAAATAGGCTTACAAAGGGTTGTGAATAGATATTTTAAATTATCCCTCAAATGTATTGTTTAATTTACTATTTATTCATTGGTTGGCTTTTTATATCAACAAATTAGATATTAGGTACTAATTAATGTACCACTAATATGTAATATTTCTGCATAAAATTGATCAATATATGTATAGTGTAAATATGATTAATTCATGAAATAAAATTGTATTTTTTTGGTGTTGCTATATTCAGTTTTTCTCTTTCTTTTAGTCTTAAAATATTTACACATTTAAAATATTGTTCTTGCTTCAAAAAAGCAAATATATTTCTACATATGTTTTTTTTTTGTCTTTTTTTTTATGCCTCTAGTTTTAGTAAGGGAGGGCGGGGCTCAAGCTGTCATGTTTTTCATGACTGTTGATTAGAAATTAACCAAAAACATTGATTGCTTTTAATAATATATCTTGATCGTGTTTGCTGAAATGTAATACAACTGCAATACTCAAAGAGTGTTTCAAAAACCGTGACTAACCAATAACACGTAATGCTTTTTCCCCAAAGACAAGTAATAAGAGAGTAAGAATTATGTAACACTTACTGAAACGCATGATCTAGTATTTTATTCAATATTTACTATATGTTGGACATATAATTATTAGTTAGCTCTGTATATGCCTGATTTAAATTTTAAACTAAAGTTCCGCTGTTCTTTCTGTTTTATTTCTTCTTTTTAGTCATTACATTTGCTTATTTTCTATTACCATTCATTATTTCATATTAGTCCAAACCAAATGTTTATTATTTTTTTAAATAGCTTTCACTATTTCCTTTACTTTTGGCTCTGTCATTATACAAGTATACCTAAAATGTAAAGGAATATTTATAAAGTGCATGGTAATAGTTTATTAAATGCTATAATTGTTGAAAACTTGTTTCAATATACTGTGCTTTTAAACGGATAGTTTAGACAGTGTCTAAAGTGACTGGATGTAAACAACCAAGAATCCTTCAGAGATATGCAACATATTTGTGTTACAGTTAACCCATCCTTACAACTTTCCCCATAAAAGATTTCAGATTTTTTTTTAAATGGCACCAAATACATAAAAGTGGTTTATTGTTGTGTTTTGCAAAGGTTTAAAAATGTATTTCAGAATCCTTTCTATAGTCATTGTGTAAGAATTTGCAAAAAATTTTAGAAATAGCAACTCTGGAAGGCGGTGAAAACAAGCAAATAAATACAATTCTGAACATTTGTCCCACAGATCTGTCACACAGTTGACGAAATGCAGTTTATAGTAAATAAAAAAGCAAATTTGATCTCAGGATGTAAAAAAAACACCATATAACACTCACCATGCAGTTATTGATTTTAAAGTGACAAAAAAGTGACAAATCAAAAAGTTGAAGCTTCTAACCTGTAGGTAGTCATTTTTAAAAGCCTGCATTGAAATTGTAAAGGAAGATTTACAGATGTGAAGACCACATGGCCCTCTGTAACTGTCAATGAAATCCCATCAGGGTTGACAGTGAGCATACATTTCTCAGTCAACGTTTTATTCTAAATTTAGTCCAGCCCTAACTCAGAGTCTGTGAACTGTTTAGCTAGATTGCCATGACTGGCTGTGCTGTTGTGATCCTATCAAGTTAGCAGTTTGATTCACAAACTTATTAGAACTCCCCATAATCAATTATTCACCAGGGTTTAAATAATCAAAATAAAAGACATGTCGTTTTAAAGATTAGAACTAAGCCTCTTTTCTGGCCTGTTATGCAGCATTATGCCTACCGGTATATTCAGATTTTGTTTGGCAGAGGAAGACCTTATCCCAGGATACAATCAATGGAGCAGAATCCCTCATGATTGAATGCAGGATAAATGGAACTAGCAGAGAGACATGTGACATTTTATGACCTAAATTCACCCAATAATAAACCAATTTAAAGCTGAATTTTACCTTTCAGTTTTGCTAATGTATGCTATTTTTCCCCAAAGCCTTTTGCCATACTTTTCTAAAATGATCTCCTGTCTTCCCCATATTTAAGAGAATGAGCTTGTGTTTTATGTTCATATTGTGTCGAAACAGAAAGCCATAGATTAAAAACAGTTGTTTGGGAGTTAATTGTAAATGTTAGGTTACAACCACCATTTTTGGGGATAAATAATGAATTTATAAAAACCTTTTACACAATATTACTAGCAGTAAAAATATGTGCTTGTACGCTAGATCTGCTGCAGAAAAAGAGATAAACTTAGCTTTTTAAAGCGTGTTTTTTAATCTGTCATATTGATTTCTTTCCCTTGTCATTGTTTAAACAGGGGGAGATAGAGAGCGGATGACAACCAACCATGAGACCTACCTACTTATGGCCAGCACCCAGAATGACATGGAGGATTGGGTGAAGACGATTCGGAGGGTCATCTGGGCACCTTTTGGTGGAGGTTAGCATTAATGCAGCCCTTGTTTCACTCGACCCAGAGGTCTTCAACCCTTGTCCTCTGGACCAACTGTCCTGCATGTTTTAGACTTGACTGGATGACTCCCTCATCAGCCACCTAGGGATGCAGAGGAATGCTAATCATTTATTTATGTTAGTCAGTTGTGTGGAGACAGGGGGAAAACCTAAAACATGCAGAAAAAAGGGTAAAAAAAGACTAAGGTTGGGTAATTGTTTGCATTTGCAAGAAAATAACATTTTAGCAAAACAGAATTCTTAATCGTAGAGGCGGTCAATATTAGTCACATCACACTTAACAAGAGTGAGGCACTAAATGTTGTCTCACTAGTCTTTTATGTGGTGGTGATACACTTGAAGTGGGTTTTGGCCAGATGGAAAGGACGAAAGAGTTGCAGCTAGCATGCAGCTTCATGCATCATCGTAGAAATGGGAACTCTTTCACGCAAAGGTCACTGTAAAGTACCCCAACAATGGATTCTGGACAAACAAGCTTCCGTCATGGAAAAACTGAAACCCTGGACATTGAAATGCTGTGTAGCACTGATAATCGGTTCTAGCCTTTCAGTTCTCCTGGAGTAGTTCAATTGTTTTATTTTTGAATCTTAGTTTTGATGCCCAGTCCGCCCACAGGAAACAAAAGCCGTCTAATATCAGCAATGACGAATCTGCAGTAATATGTGCGCAACCACATATTATTGTGCTGTGCCATTTGAATGTGTGGCTTAAAGCTGAATAAAGAAATACCCAGTCGGCTATTTGCGACGCTGTTGATGGGATTATGTTATGCAAAGAACAGCGTATGGCCGACATAATTAAACATTGCTTAATTCATGTTTGACCTAACCTTGTGCTGCAAGCTGGGTTGTCACAAGATCTGAGTTTTCAGTCCTACAACAAACCCATCTTGAAAGACTCCTGTTAATATGTCCTTCTCGTAACCATGCAAAGTAGGACCAATGACATTCCAGCAGTGTTTGCCTTGCCAAGGCATTATAAACATTATAAACACCCGACAGGTGAGTCCTCCACACTGGAGGACTCACCTGTCGGGTGACTGCAATAGGCTCTATGCACAGCTCCACTACTTCCTGAATTTAATGCAGCTCCTTTGTTTCCTGTCTTTCATGATTGGATGCACTGATTAATCCAGGTGTGTATGACCTAAGTAACTGGCCAGACAAACCTGGATTAAACAGTTCGTCCAGTAATGAAAGACAGGAAACAAAGGAGCTGCATTAAATTCAGGAAGTAGTGGAGCTGTGCATAGAGCCCATTGAATCAGTTTAAGCTAGAATAGCAACCATTTCTCATTTTAAAAAAGGAGCCAAGAGAAGCACTTTGAGCATTTGTAGATGTGAAAAATGTCTGTGCTTATCTTCCGACAAGATTTGGAAAAAGTTTAATTTATCTGCTAGTTGTGAAAACATCACGACTTGCTGCTACGATTGGCTGAAAGCATATTATGGAAGGTGGGTACTCGCTGGCACGTCACCAAACCAGCTCAAAGTATTCTACTAAACATCTCTCCTTTTCATGGACAGACTGAACGGCAGCCATTGCAGATTGATAACTGCACATCCAATCTGACTACTGTCAGGTTATGTTTGACCTGCTGCTGTTCTGCTGTAGATCCTTTTTCTTCACAGTGCACCTTCTACATTCAAAACAGTGCCTTTTTTATACTTATTCTATGTATTCCTTTACATCTTAACAGTAACCTGCCTTGTTGTGGATAGAATAAAAAACACTTTAATCTCAATCTGCCATACTTAATAATAATTATTAGCTTAACTTGATGAAATAATTTTTATTTCAGTTCATTTAGTTTCAGATTATAAAACCCACTCACTGAGGGACTCAATATGACATCTGATCATTGCTTTGTCCATTAAAGTAAAACAGCCCTACTTTCACGTCTAGTTGAATTGAACTGAGGGGCAGTAAATGATGCTGAGAATATAAACTCTGTTAGGAGGAAGCTGAGCACCTCACTACAAACCCAATCAGGTAAATACAAATAGGGAAATAGTTATATACGGCATAAGTACCTGAAGCATCAGACACTGGATATATTTAAATGTGTTTTAAAATGTTTTCAAAGTAAAAGCTCTATGTGAGAATGTAACTGGGGAAAGAAAATCCATAAATATATTAGAGTTCACACAGGTTTGATATTTATATACTGACAATAACAATTTGACCCTTGACATATTCCATCACTTTTTGGAATTGAATTTTAGCTTAAGACCCTGTAAACCTTTTTGTTCTAAAACTAGAAAAGTTTGATTGACTTAAATTTCTTATTTAACGTGCAAAGAAAGGACCAGGTCTTTGGAAACAGATCATGATTTCATTGGTTCTGGGCAAGTTGCGTCCTTCGAAATGCCGCAAGTTATCGTTACACAGAAGAGGAGCTTTTCTCGTTTCCTGAGCATTAAGATCAGTAGTGATTATAGCACCATTCACAATATTGTCTTTTTTTTCCATTGCCTCTTCTAAAAAAATTACAACTAATATGTAAATGAAACCAGCAAATACCCCGTCCCTGAAAAAGCTATAGGCATTTATGCAGTAATTTTTCTCTGACTTTGTTGAAGTTAGTGTGCTGATTATTGAGTCTCCTGCCGGCTGGCGAGTCTTATTATTGACTGGCCTAGATTATGCTTTGGAGGCACACAAGTACAGCATTTGTAACCAGACAGGCGGTTTAGGCGGCCCTCACTGATGAACAGAATAGATGAGGCCGAGTTGGCCCCTCTGTTTTCAGTGCAGGGAGTTTGATGTCTATTGCAGTTGACTGCTCTTCAAAAGGACGAGCCATTTGTCAAAGATGCCACAGGAAAGGTGGCTCCATGTTTGAGCCGAGCCGGGCTTCCCCTCACTCTGACACACATAGACATGCATACAGAGAGCACAGACAGACTTTAGCCATTTTGCAGCGGCAGCAGTGATCGACTGAGACCTGAGAGGCTGAATAGGACTGCTGCAATATTTAAAAGTTTGAACGGACTGCTGGACAAAGAGAGAGGGCTCAAAACCAAGTCCCGTTAACTGGAGTCCTCCAGAAAGTACCGATCAACGGGGAAACAGGAAGGACAGTGATTGGATTTCATAGAAAAAAATGTGCAGCTGTGGATTCTCTATCTGGATCCTTGGAGATTTGTTTCATGGTAATTACATTTCTGCTTTTAGTAATGGGGGCACTTTTAAGGGTTCTTTTTTTAAGTTCACTAGAATTTTTTCAGATGAAGTTATTCATCATTTGTTTTTGTACAAAGCCATTTTTGTACTGAACAGAGAAAGAAATTACTGTCCTTCTTTTTTTAGTTTCTTGCTGGCTACGAAGCAAATTAGCCCTGATGACAACAAAGTTCATGATATCTACAATAAACTGTTTATATAGATAACTACAGATGAATACTCAGAATTAAACATGAACATTTCTTCTTTGTTAAATTTTGCATTCAACCATTAACTATTTAACCAGTTTATGGCTTGGGGTTACATTCTGAATATATCTGTAACTTGTAAAACTACATTTTTCTGAGCTATAGTTGTTGAAGAAACTAAGAAAATAATTACCAAAGTCATTGGAAGTAGTGCAGTTTTACTTTAGCTGTATTGCTGTTATAAATCATATTCTACGGTGCATTCGTCAGAGAGATTTAGTCAGCTTTTATTTTGTTCTAAAGCTTTCCTTCCATTAGAACATGCCTGATATTTTTTTCACTTTTCTAAGGTCTGAGCTTTAGCTCCTATTCTTTATGAACAGCAATACCTTATAATGCATTTAACAAATAATGCTTTATTTCTCTTTTATGTAAAGTCATTCACAGCTTATGTCCATGAAAACTTGATCTGACTATGTGTTAAAGACATATTTTCACAATAAAAACAAAATGAAACACCAGTTGTACAAATTTTCGTTCCACATGGATTTTTGCCTGGGAGGAGCAACTATGTGTGACTGACAGGGACTGAAAGTGTTGATGAAACCTTCAAGCTATTGCAGAGTATCACTCCTATGTGCTGAAGGTCTGCTGCTAGAACAACCTGTCCAGAAGGAAAAGGAAACATGCATGAAAGAAACACTCCGAAGCATTAGCTGTTAGATGTGACCCGGTGAAAACATTCCTTCACTCATAACTTGAACATCTGGAGGGATCAAATTGTGTTCAGTCACTTTCTATTATTTAGACATTTGTTTGGTTGTCAGTCTAGGAGTTTCCATGGTTTATGTTTTGGAAAACATCAGCTGATCTTTGTTTTGAAGGTAAAACAAAAACTTTAAGGATTTTTTTTTATGAATTTGGGTCAACCATTATTTTGCTTACAAGTAAATGAGAACTTTTGTACTATCTGACAGTAAAAGGGAAATTAATGCATTCTATGTATTGCTTCCCTGCTTTTGTTTTCTTTCACAACTTTTAATCTTTTTTTCTGACCACACATCTGCTGTGTGGTCATACTACAACTTTATCAATGAGTTTAGAGAGGTGGGTTTAGCAGCAAACATAATGCAGTTACTAAATGCTTAACAAGAAGAGATAAATCTCCGTGATCTATGATAAATCCATTAAGAAATGTTTTTTGAGTGCTTGCATTATGACGTTGGCCCCTGATAATCTTTGTCTAATTTGGCCCATGAGACTCCTAGTACCGTGTCCATGTGTCTGTATGCGTGCGAATAGCTAATCTGTATCTAAAGCCTCAAAAAGTATGCAGATCCAAATCTCTTTAGAAGACATCATTAATCCCTTCTGTTGATACATACACATGAGATGCAATAATATTGTGTAAATAAATGCTTACATTGGAGATTTTTGCCATTTTCAGACCAGTTCCAATATCAATATCAGACCAGGGCACCCCTTGTTTAAATAGATGTTTAAATTAAGAGATGTGCATTGATCCTTCAGTATTGGTTCACTTATGCAGGGCACGCAACACCTGAGTGTTTTATATATATTGCAAAATATACTGGAAGCAACCTACCAATCTGGTCATTAATGGTTAGTAAGGTGATGTCCAGTCATTATTTTCCTACAACGTTTTGTCTTTCTGTACCCTTAAAAAACTGATAGATGCACAACATTGCGACTCGGGCTTAGGAAACATTGTGAGCTACTGTACCAGTCATACTGGTGCATCTAAAATGTAGGTGAAATATAGAGGCCTGAGATGTGCCTTCAAATTTCACCTCAAATCAACAGTTTGTAATTGAAAACTGTAACAAAATGGAATAATATTCCCAAAAAACATATTGAAATTGGTTTTGGAGCAAATGAAGCAGGTAAAATGTATCTTGGTATAGGCCCAACCAGGGGTGTGGGAAAAAAAATCTATTTGGCAGTATATGGTGATTTTTGGCTGTCCAATATAATATCCATCTTTCAGTGCTTAATAATGATTTTAAAAAAGCAAAACGAGGGAAAATAGGCAACCTTTCTACACTACCACTCTGGCAGATAGTGCCTTGGAGCCCTTTTCCTGTGCGGCGCAGCTCAATATCTGTAGTTGAAGCAGTCACAGTGGATAATTGATCAATATCTTCTGATGAACATATACAGTACTTGTTTTTTTATCTATACATTTAATTTTGATAGCTTGGAAAAATTTCGCAATACATAGTGATACTGCAATATGGTTATAGTTTCGCATCGTGACCCAGGTATCGTGATGCATATCATATCGCAAATCACCTACCAAAACTCACGCCTAGGCCCAACTTCAACTCCATTAGGAATTTGTGCATTAGATTCAAAGCACCACCTGAGCTACAAAGCCAGCTAATTTACATGAGATCTAGAAATTGAGCCAAGAGGGCTGGTCCAAAATCCATGCCATTTTATGCTTGAAGCTTGTCAATAGCTTTGGAGGAAAAATTCTTGAGGTTTAGTTTGCAAATGGACATTAAAACTAATACGAAAGGAGCTCGATGTTTATAAGCCTGTTAATCTTTTGTGGATTAGAGAACTTGTTTATCAAAATATCACTTTCCCTCACACCTTAGCAATTAACAATTTTCATATGTTTCAGGGATCTTTGGCCAGAAGCTGGAGGAGACGGTGCGGTATGAGCGCCGGTTTGGGAACAAGCTCGCCCCAATGCTAGTTGAGCAGTGCGTTGACTTCATTCGCCAGTGGGGGCTTCAAGAAGAGGGTCTATTCAGACTCCCAGGACAGGCGAATCTTGTTAAAGAGCTGCAGGATGCCTTCGACTGTGGGGAGAAGCCATCATTTGATTGGTGAGGAGAAAACACAAGAATACAAACTCAATATGCAGAGATATACAGCTTGTATTTACCTAAACTAAATCTAATTTAAATCTAAATCCCTTTATTGTCCCACAATGGGGAAATTCACTCTCTGCATTTAACCCATCCCCTTGGGGAGCAGTGCGGTGCCCAGGAAGCAGTGTGGGGTTAAGGGTCTTGCTCAGGGACCCAGAGTGGAGCCTGTGGGGATCGACCCGGATACTTGCAACCTTCTCAGAGAACAAGAGCACTGCTCTAACCGCTAGGCCAACACTCCCCAGTGTACCTGTGGTGCAGAGTGTTAGTTTGAATACAAAAGCATGAATATTTCTCAATTTACTGTAAAGATGAATTGGTCTAATCAAATACTTCTGTTGGTATATATAAATGAAAAAGAAACTGCACTAATCTATGCATAACATTAATTATAGGTTCTTCATCTTTACCCGAACTATCTATACATTTTTTTGTCAGGGTGATGCATAAAGGACACAATGTGAAATACAGGTTTTCATTATCTTTATTTTGCCGCTCTTTGGCAATGACTCCATCTTCCTCCTCCCTGATTAGCCTTCATAACCTCCTGCCGGCATCACCACCTGCCCCTAGTTGGATCACTATCATCTCATAATCCAAGTCGTTTTTTCATGGAAGATCATCCAAACAAGCCAGTGCTTGCTGCACTTCTCTTTTAGTAACCCTCAAATTCCAGGTTTCCTGTTTATTTTGTTTGTTTGTATAGTGCAGAGATTTAACGAAACACATATAAGCAATAAAGAATAGAGCATTTTTTTCTCAATTACCTCTTGAGTTTATTCAAACAATATAGATAGATAGATAGATAGATAGATAGATAGATAGATAGATAGAATACTAATATAATCAAGAGAGAGTATTTGCTGTTTTAGTAACATATAGTTAGATATGTCAATAAAAAAAAGCAAGTAAGATTTGCAAATACCCCAGCAGTCTGGTGTGTGGATAATTAATACCAGGTGACCAAAGGGTTCAATGTGTAACACAGGTAATAAGATTTTAGGGACCTGTTATACAGAGTGAGTATAAATCTCAGTACTTCAGGCTAAACAGAGTCTAAATCTTGCAAAGTGGGAATACAGGAGTGCTTATATAAATAACAGTTGGCTGGAACAGGTTTTTTGATTTATTTTTTTTGCTATGAACACAATTCTAAATGTTTGACTTTTCAGTATGAAGAAATACACACTAAGATGTGGAGATGACAAAATTTTTAATAGCTTTATTTTATGAGAACCTTTGTTTATTTGTTTGGAAATAAAAACGTGGCTTCGTCTTAGAGTTTAATTCTAGTTTTAGAAGAAATAAATCTAACTAAATAGACTTGAATGCAACCTGCAGCACCAGAGGACTAGGGTATGCATGAGTATGTATGCATTTATTGAGGTATGCAGATGACATTAAAGGAATCACTGAATTCAACATCCTGCTTAGAATCACAAAAATCTAAAAAAAACACCTGATGGTTCTATCCTAAAACCTTTGACATAAAGGGCTTAGATCTTTTTTGATAAATGATTTTGATAAATCTGTTCTTGGAACTCCTAGAAATTTTATTAGCACACTTGAGGGTAGCAGGTCGGTACACTGATATTAAACCAATACACAAACTTTTTATGAGCGCAATGGCGGAAGACACTGTGTTTTTCAAACACATTGACTTACGTATTTGCTGATATATGTGAGAAAATGGTCTTTTAGAGCAGGGTTTCTTAACCCTGGTCCTCAGGGCAAAGCGTCCTACATGTTGTTTCCCTGCCGCCGCACACCTGACCTGAATGAAAAGGTAATTTACAGGTTTTACCTGGATCCTCTGGAACCTCTAGAGATTATTATGTATAAAATATATCCATGAACATTATGGAAAAACCTTGTCCTCTTCGTCAGGCCGCCAAAGAGAACCTGTGTCTTCAAGACTGCTACAAGAGATTCTTCCTGGGCCAGCCTCTATGTCTACAACAACTCATTAAAAGAAATATTAAAAGAGAAAACTATTAGTTATAAAAATATAAGTATTCCTTGGGTTCCCTTTTCATCCCTTGTAAAATTTTAACATCTAAGAAAATACTTAATAAAGCCTGGCCAATATGAGAAAACCCAACACAGCAGAATAGTAATACGCAGTAGTGCAGCGGATAGATGGACACGGAGGGAAACTGGTCAGTGTGTCAAGTGAGGCACAAAGTCAGCTCCTCATACATGTGTTTCACATGAAACCAATACATTTTACTTAATTATCGATCTCTATTGCCGCCGTCTTGGAGTTTCATGTTGATATTGAACAGAAATGTGATGGTATAGAAATTCTTATCACAAAAGAATCTCTCTTTGTTTAGAAGCTTTATGCCATAGATAATATTACAGTCCCAGTATTCTCACTATCTTTTCTTTTTACAGTAACACAGACGTGCATACGGTAGCTTCCCTACTGAAGCTGTACCTCAGAGAGCTACCTGAGCCAGTCATCCCCTTCATGAAATATGAAGAGTTCCTGGCCAACGCAAAACTCCTGGGCAAAGATGATGAAATGGTAGGAAATATGAAATAAAGTTTCTCTTTTTACCTTGTATATTTCCCATCATCCCTCTGTCCAAACATAAGGTGGGTTTAGTTGATAAAAAGCAAGCTCTGAAAACCCTTTCTTTAGTCCTATTCAATCTAATTCTTCTCTGCTCTGCCTTACCTAGTAACTTTGTCTGGCTTCCCCTACATCATTACACCAAGCTGCCACTTAAAATGGTTTTAAATACTGTTTTCATCCATCACGCGGCTTTAAAGGAAGGAATAACCTGCGGATAACTACTTCATATACTTCAAAAGCTCTCAGACTCCTTGAACCTTTTTCACATTTTGTCACCTTACAACCACACATTTCCATGTATTTTATTAGGAGTATATGTGGCATATGTCTTCAGATGGGGCATCGATGTGGGTTGGAAGTAAAATTATAGTTTTCCAATTTCTTCAAAACAAATATAAAAGGTTTGGCATGGACTTGAATTCAGTCAATCTAGTAGGTGAGTAGCTGCTCTGTCAAATAGCATCTTGCTGTATTTAAAGCGGAAAGTCCTTTGGTGTACAGCTCCTCTAGCTTTGCAATTCCATAGGCGTGCAGTAATCTCAGAATTCTCCTAGAGATTGTCAACAAGATTAAGGTCTGGGCTTTGACTGGACCATTCTTAGACAAGACGGTGCTCTGATCTAAACAACTGCATTATAAATCTGGCTGTTTTTTAGGTAGTTTCTGTGCTCAAAGGTAGTTTGCCGTCTTCTGCAACCTCAGGTTTTCATCCTTTAGTCTGTATTTAGTTCTATCATCTTCTCATTCTAATCAGTTTAATTGTTCCTATACAAGAAAGCGATTCTCACAG